CCAGGGGACAGTTGCCTTATGCTCTGAAAGCCTTTGTTTTTCCTTCCTCTGCAGTTAAGGCTGCTATGAAACTACCTGACTCTGAGCAAGTCTCAGGGCTGGACACACAGAGCATTGGGTCGGTAACTGCTTCCAGGCTCTGTCAGCATCTGCTGCCCCCCAGGAGGCCAGGGTCTGTGGGTTCTGGCTGTGCTCCCCTTTGTGGTGTCCTGATGGAATACAGGCATTCGGGGCACAGCTTTGGTGGTAACCATCCCCACAAGACTGCTCCCTGGGCCCAGATCTACCTCAAAAAGTTGAGATCCTCAGCTCTGACAAATGGCAGAGCTCATGATTGGGAATGTGGATTCTGGAGCTAAACTGCCTGCAGTGAAGTCCCCAGCCACCTCATGTTTGCTTTGTGGCCTTGGGTAATCCATTCATCCTTCCCGTGCCTTGGTTTCTTCCTCTGTAGAATGGTGCCACCCACAGAACCTGTCTCATGGGATGCTTAGGAGAGGTACTTGACTTAATATTTGGATGGGCTCAGAACAGTGTCTGGGACGTGAACATGCTTGTTAAATAAAATTTTAAAAATAAAATTTGCTTAAACCTGCCAAATAATCACTATAATTCATGGCAGGGATTTCTTTGGAAAGAATATATCCACACAAAAACTTGTGCATCTGTGTTCATAGCGGTGTTATTCATAACAGACCAACACAGGAAACAATGATGAATGAATAAACAAATATGGTCTATCCAGGCAATGGAATAGTATTCAGCCATAAAAAGGGATGAAGTGCTGATACGATACAACATGGATGAGCCTTGAAAACATGATGCTCAATGAGAGAAGCCTGTCACCAAGGGCCATATGTTGCATGGTTCCATCTATAGGAAATGTCCCAAACAGGCAAATCCACAGAGACAGAAAGTAGACTAGTGGTCGTCAGGGGCTGGGGTGTGGGGATCGGAGAGGACTGCTGATGGGTACAGGGTTTCTTTTTGGGTCGATGAAAATGTTTTAAAACTGACAGTAGTCATAGTTACACAACTCTATGAATCCTAAAAACCACTGACCCTTACGTTTCAAATGGGTATATCAGTTATAGCTCAATAAAGCTATGAAAACAATAAATAATTACAATAAGCCTAAACAATATTTCACCAGCATTAACAATGAGCCAGGCCCTGCCCGGGCATCCCTGTCCCTTCAGTCAATCCTCACTTCAACTCTATGAGGAACAGGAGCCTTTATGACCTCCATTTTCCAGGTGTGAATCTAGGGCAGGGACCCAGATGATGGATCTGCCTCTTAGCAACCATCCGTCTGGGAGAAGAGGCCAGAACCCAGAAACCATTCACAACAGGCTGTAGGCTGACCAGAGAGTGGCCTTCGATGTTCAAGTGACCACAGTCCGAAGTGCAAGACACGGCCTTTGTGTTCTATGTACAAAGACCCCATCACCACCTTCAGGGACCCCACATACAAAGGGACCAAAGACCCTCTCCAATCTTATACCAGCTGCCTCCATTGTCTTAACTGTTTCCCTCTGTTTACCAAGATAATACGAGCTGACTGTTTTGAACCAAATTAATACAGAACACAGTCAAGAAAGAAGAAAACAAAGGTCCCTGGAATCCCACCCTTCAGAAACAGAATTCCTGCCAGGGGATTTGGCCCAAGGAGAGAGACGCCCATTCACTGGATTAGTTACATTTTTGAGATGAAAGAGGAAAAAAAAAAATTTTTTTTAATTGTTTAATCTGGGTCTGGAAATGTTGCCTCGGTGCTATTTTATGACCAATTTCTTGAGCCCAGTTTTAGTCATTTGTGTTTGTTGCTGGTGGACTTCTGAAACAAGCAATGTTTTAATTCTCAAGTCAGTTTTTTTAAACAGAAAAACCAAAGGCCAGCCCATCTAGTCACTCGGATGCAGTGAAAATAGCTGAGTTCATCCGAAACTTCCCTGGCATCTGACCCAAACTGAGAGCAAGTGTTTAGCTGAGAAACAAAGACGGACATTAAGTGCAGAAAAACCCTTTTGTGCCCACACAGCATGCAAGTTATGTTGAGTTATGCAGCTATTTTGGGGACAATGATGTTTTGTAAACAGTCGGTAAAGTGGCTTTGTCGCTAACATTGCAGAGCCTTGAGGCCCTTTCACCAATAAGGATTGTATGGAAGATAAGGAAACATGGGCATGGTTGCCCCAAATAACTTAAATTAATGCAGATACAGAAAATGAATATCTGAAAACCTTGTTTCCTGCTGTACCCACAAGCCTCTATGCAACAACATCTAGGGACTGTTAACAGGTAGAGGAGTAAGCAGAGTTCTGTATCCATTTATGGAACAGGACGCTTACAAAATATGCTTAACATACTCCAGTAAACTCAATGTGAATACTTTACCAGCCTTATTAATACAGCCTTCAGTGCTCCTTTAGCGGGCATGTTTTAAAGTGTAATGATTGTAAATATTTTGGAGAATCCCAAATATGCTAAATTAAATTTACATTTATTAAGCTCATGCAATTATAAAAAAAGGATTAGTCTTCCATTTTACAGTTATTTGTCTCAGCTTCATGGTAGAGAACCATAGGTTCCTGGACTGTGGGTTGTCCCAAAAGGGTTGGGATAGTATCTCTCTTTTTTTAAATGAATGAGGGAATGAATGAATGAATGAATGAATGAACCCTAGGGTCTTAGACTAAGTAGGGTGCCTGGAACCTTACAGGACAAGTATTTATATTTAGCTGCCATTTATTGTCTATTTGGTATGGACCAAGACCTGCATGGGGCACCTGCCCCTCACCCCCCTATTCCTTCCACATTATAATATATATATAAATGTATTTATCACACACACACACATATATATATATATATATATGTATATATATATATATATAAAATCTTTAATCCTCATGAAAACCCTATGAAGTGCATATAACCATCCCCATTTCATGAATGAAGAAATCAAGGCTCAGATACATTCAATGGCTTTTAAATAGCACACAGCCAGAGCATAGCAGAGCAGTAGCAAGGACCCAGCATTTCTGACTCTTCGCCATCCCCTGGTGTCTGACCCTCATTACAAATACGGGAAAGTCACACAGCCACAGGCAGCAGCAACAATAACAGTAACAGCATTTGGTCTGTACCAGACCTTGCATTGGGAGCTTTATGTATATTGACTCATTTAATCCATGCACAGTGCCAGGATTTGGAAACCAGGATTGGTACTCCTCATTTTACAGATGGGAAATGGAGGCTCAGAGAGGTTAAATAATTTGCCCAAGGTCACCCAGCTAGTCAATACTAGCCCCTGCCTCTTGCCCTGGAACCATCTGCATATAACAGCACAACATGTATGAATGATTCCAGTGATGTTTCAAAACCCATTAAGGAGGCGCTTGGGTGGCTCAGTTGGTTAAGTGACTGACTTCGGCTCAGGTCATGATCTCAGGTTTGTGAGTTTGAGCCCCGCGTCGGGCTCTGTGCTGACAGCTCAGAGCCTGGAGCCTGCTTCAGATTCCTTGTCTCCCTCTCTCTACCCCTCCCCTGCTCATGCTCTGTATCTGTCTCTCAATAATAAATAAACGTTAAAAATTTTTTTTTTTAATTTTTTTTCAACGTTTATTTATTTTTGGGACAGAGAGAGACAGAGCATGAACGGGGGAGGGGCAGAGAGAGAGGGAGACACAGAATCGGAAACAGGCTCCAGGCTCTGAGCCATCAGCCCAGAGCCCGACGCGGGGCTCGAACTCACGGACCGCGAGATCGTGACCTGGCTGAAGTCGGACGCTTAACCGACTGCGCCACCCAGGCACCCCTAAAAAAATTTTTTTAATCCATTATGTGACTATAAACACATATATAAGTAGATTTGTAGAATAAGACCAGTCGGGACACATATCCATGGAGGTACCAATTGATTTGAAAGTTCTTGGATCAAAAGCTGAAATTAAGTAATAGGTTAGGATAGGGAGGATGTGGGGGGATTCCAATGTTTCTTACACTTTCAACACAATCATTTATAACACCATGTGGTGTGATAACAGGGACAACCACATTTAGTGAGTGCCTACTGTGTGTCAGGCACTGGGTGAGAGGCACTGCATATTATCTCATTCACTCCTAACACAACCCCATAGCATTGCTCTTTTTTTCCCAAGGAAGGGGACCTCTGAGAGGCAGAAGGATGGCCCCAAGAAGGAAAGCTACATCTGCTTGTTTCCAGCATCTGCCCCATGGTGCAAAGATTATTGATCCAGGAGGCTAAGAGCTTGGGAGCCAATTCTAGTCCCTCGACTGAGTGGCTACTTGATTTACGTACAGTCAGTCTGAAGCTACCCTGAAAATGGCTGTTCCTGGACCCCTGCTGCCCACTCACCCCCTGTCAGCTTCTTTGAAGGAAAGGAGAGGGGATGTGCAAACTGAAGGAAGACCCTGGGCAGGATGGAGGGGGATATGGCAAAAAAAAAATCATGGCTCCAGAGTACTCCCCTGCATGGGTCTGTGCCCTGGCTCCACCCCTTGTCAGCCGCAGAACTTGGGGCCACCTTTACCTCTCCAAGCTACAGTTTAGCGGAAGTAAAATGAGAATAATGAAACAATATATGTAAAGACTTGGCACTGGAAACCCTCAGTGAATGGCTGCTACTCTCATCTTCATTAGTACATTTACTATTACTATTATTAGCATTACACAAAGTGACAGCAGTGGTTTGGCCCAAGATATTCTTGTTTTCTGTCAGAGGAGGTTGAGATGAGAGAACAAGTCTGCTTCAGCAAGGAGAAAGAAAGATCTTGTGATGTGGTCAGTGGACAAGGATTCCAGAAGATGTGGAGAAGGCTGGGGTGGCTGGGTGGAGGGTCACTAGGGAGAAACTGGACTCGCCAGTTTCCTTCTCATCTGGGAGTCTGAGGGGCTCCCTCTCATTTTTGCACAGCTGACCTCCTGTGTCCCTCTCACCATCACACAAGGGGCTGGAGAACCAGGGGTCACTCACCGCCATGACCAGCTCAAATGGGTACTTGTAGATGCGGACAGGAGACTGGTACTTCTGCACCATGTTCTCGCAGGAGCGCCAACAGAAGCACCCAGGCAGGAGTGAGCACAAAACCTGGGTGACAGGTGACTGGTAAGGTAGCAGCTCCCTCCAGCTGAAGCATAACCCTGCCCACTGCTTCCCCAAACAAGGGACAAGCCCGCCCTCTCATGCTCTGCCCACACATCTCCCCAGCCCTCAAAGCAAGAGGGCTGATGTGATCACCAAATTTCTCTGGGCCATGCCCCAAACACCTGCCCTGACCATTACCCACTGCTCCAGGCCACACTCATCCCTCCAAGAGCAATCAGTACTCCCAAACTTTCCTTGGTCTCCACTCCTTCACACTGAGGCCCCCAGAAGCACCCCTCACTGCTACTCACATGGAAACCCACGTTTGCAACTCTTACACTCTTACAATTCACCATCCACCCACACACCCCACAGCTTGCCACAGACGTCCCCTATAGACCCCCCCAAGTATCATTGCACCTGCCCTTCCATTTTCCTCCAAGATACCCTGACATACACAGTCTTCACTAAATTTCACATGCAATGTCTCTATCACACACACACACACACACACACACACACGCACACACACACACATGCATGACCCACCTCCCACACAGGATCACCCTTGCACACACATGCAACTTTGCCCACACACTCAGCTCCCTGGACCTCACACCACCCAATTCCACACACGCACACAATTCCCCTGGTGAGCACAAACGTCCACACACTTGTACATACACTGGTATGCATATGCACACACACACAAGCACGCACACACGTATGAACTCGCAGGCCCCCGCAACCCTGCTCACCCTCGCCCTCGCCCTCGGAACCTCCCGGGAGGCAGCCCCGGGGTCAGTATGGCGCTGAGTCCGCCGGGGGGCCCCCCGCGGACGCCTGGCCCGGAGCGCAGCTTCTGGGGCGAGGCCCGACCGCGGCCGCCCAGCCTGGGGCGTCCGGCCGTGCTCACCCTGGGGCCGGGCCAGCCAGGGAGGGGCCTGCAGGGCAGGAGCCAGACCTGCCCGGCGGGAGTGCTCCAGGACCTGGGACAGCGGAGAATCCGGCCTGGCCCCGCCCCTGATCTGGCCCGCCCTGCCTGCCTCCCCTGTTGCCAGCCCCGCCCAGATTTACTCTGCCCCTGATTGGTCCCTTCCTAGCCACGCCCCGGCATTAGCCCGCCCTTCATATATATATATATATATATATATAAAGGCTATATATATATATATATAATATATATATACATATCCTTGCTTTCATCACGCCCCTGCCCGGCCCTTCTCCAGATTGGCATGGGTTTTCAGGTAGGTGAGCCCTGTGGTCCCGCCCCAAGGCACCTCCTCCTTGAACGCCCAGTCCCTCTGGGATTAGACCCCTGCCCCATAGTCCCACCCCTGAGCCTTGCTTGCCTCTCGCGGTACCTTATGACCCTCCCACCTCTCCTTTTTCTCCGTAAGATTTACCTCCAACCCCATCCAGACCTGGTTGCCTAGTCTCAGAGCTCCGCGCCTCCCATGGGCCACACCTAGAGACCTTCTGGTTCTGCCCCAAGCCCCGCCCATGCATCATTCATTCACTCTGTGTACGTTTACAAAGCACCTGCTAAGTGTCAGGTTCTTACAAGTGCTGGAGAGTCATAAGTGAACAAAACACAAAAATCCTTGCCCTCCCGGAGTTTACATTCCTGGGGGCCGGACGTGAGGTAAATAAGGCAAATATACAGTATGTGAGATGGTGAAAAACACCAAGGACAAAAAAAAAAAAAAAAAGCAGGGAAGGGGTCCAAGAAGTGAACGGAGTGAGTGTACAATTTAAGACAGGGTGGATTGGCGCCTCCCAGGGAGGGTGACATTTGGCTCACACCCAAACCGTCTAGCCCTCCCAAGATCCCTAGAGAACCAGCCTCCCTTCCAAAGCCCTCCCTTCCCGCTCCCCATCTGTTCGGCCTGGAAGAGCCAACAAGCTGGCTCTGGACAGCCTTATCACCCATGTATTCATTCACTGGACACTTACTGAGCACCTACTATGTGTCAGCACTGGGTGACTTCACCCATCACAAGGGGGAATCAACAGATTCGTCTGCCCTCGCGTGGCCCACAGTCCTGGGCAGGGAAAAGGTGTGCAGGGAGACAGACAGAGCTCTGTTTAGCAAATACATAGGTCTTTGCATCCTATGATAACCAGCCCTTGTTTGTTTCCTTTCTAGCCACACTCTGTAATCATTTATTCACTCATTTTATTTATTTGTGCGTTATTAAATATCCCGGGAGCTGTGAGCTCCGTGACGCAGGGACTGTGTCTGTCTTATTCATCTGCCCCCCGGTCCCCATGATCTTACTAGGTACCGGGCACACAATAGTTAGTGTGCAGTGCATTTTCTCAATTAAGATTAACAAGAATGGACGTGGAGCACAAAGTTGCTATCTCTGCCACAAGGTGGCAGCAAACGACAATCCACGGCTCCAGGGTCTGCACACCGAGGGGAATTTGGGGGGGAGATGGGGTCCAGAAATATTTCGCTGTACCTCGCACTCAGCAAGGAAACCAGCATGCTTGTCCTGGGCGTCAGTGCCGGGCGCGTAGTGAGCCTTAGCACGTAGTTGTTACAGCACGGAAAGCGTTAAGTTGGCATTAAGTATTCACAGAGTGGGATGCTTGCACCTGGAAGGATGGGGCCGAGCAGTCTGTCCCAAACTTTCCAGCTCCTAAGACTCCTTACAGCAGAGTGCACGTTAAAAGGCAGATTCCCGGGCATCGCTCAGAGGAGTCTAGGAATGTACCTGCTTAACAAGTTCCCCAAGCGATTGTTCAAAGTCGACAGGTCTGGCAGTGCTGACTGGCAGATCTTGGAGTTGGGGGGGGGGGGAAGGGGGGTGTCCTTCCAAGTGCTTAGGTATACCAGAGTGCTCGGACTAAAATGCCAACCCTAAGGGGGAGGTGGTGCGCTCATAAGCGGGGGAGGTCCGCTCGCCAGAGCTCCTCCCAGACGTGGGCGTGCTTCCACTCCAATTCACTCCCTTCCGTTCTGGCAGAATCTTCCCGGCTACCCACCCACACACGTGTCTCCTTTGCCACAGAAGGTGACAGCTTGGGGGAGCAGGAGCGGGCGTGGGAGATGCAGGGAGCGGGCCAGGAAGAGCCACAGGAGCAGAGGGAAGGCCCTGAGACTGCGGGGGAGACCCCAGGTTTCCTTGCTACCATGAGCGCCTCCCCTGCCTCCGATCGGTGAGCGAGCATGGGACTTTGAGCCCGGGGTGGGGGACAACCGACAGCCCAGCCGGCTGGGTACGGAGAGCTCAAAGTGGAAAATGCTGCCCAAAGTGGAGTGAGAACCTAACTCCCTCCTCCTCCAGCTCAAGGGAAGAGAATTAATTAATAATAGCACCTCCCAGCACGTGTTACCTGTTGTGAGCACTGTTTACTAATTATTCCTACCATCTATCGAGCACGCACTTGGCACGGGCTGTTCCAGGCACCGTTCTAAGGCTTTATAAACATTAGATCTTCAAAAACAACCTCTGTAGTGATGAAAATGCTTTGGAACTCCATAGAGGTGGTGGTTGCACTAAATGCCACTGAATTGTTTACATCAAAATGGTTAATGTTAAGTTAAAATGGTTAATGGTTATGTTATATGACTATCACCTAATTTTTTAATCTTTTTTTTTTTTAAGTTTTATTTATGTAAGTAATCTCTATACCCAAGGCGGGGCTTGAACTCAGGACCACAAGATCAAGAGTCACGTGCTCTGAGCCAGCCAGCCACCTCACCTAAATTTTTTTTGAAAGAACCTTTAAGGGGCACCTGGGTGGCTCAGTCGGTTGAGCGTCAGACTTCCACTCAGGTCATGATCTTCCACTCAGGTTTGTGAGTTCAAGCCCCACATCAGGCCCTGTGCTGACAACTCAGAGCCTGGAGCCTGCTTCAGACTCTGTGTCTCCCTCTCACTCTCTGCCCCTCCCACACTCACTCTCTGTCTTGGGGATAAATAAACATTAAATTTTTTTTAATTTATTTTTTATTTTAAATTTTTAAATTTTATATTTTTTAATGTTTTTATTTAGTTTTGAGACACAGAGCATGAGCAGGGGAGGGGCAGAGAGAGAGGGAGACACAGAATCTGAAGCAGGTTCCAGGCTCCGAGCTGTCAGCACAGGGCCCAACGTGGGGCTCGAACTCAAACTGTGAGATCATGCCTTGGGCTGAAGTCGGATGCTGAACCGACTGAGCCACCTGGGCACCCCGATAAATAAACGTTAATTTAAAAATTAAAAAAAAAACTTTTAAGATCAAAACTATTTTAATCGTCCTTTTACAGACAAGGAAACTTTGGCACAGAGAGACTGAGTAACTTGCCTGAGGTCACACAGCTACTAAGGACTTCAGACCCAGGATTCTGGTTCTCCCATGCCTTCTTCTGCCTGGGACTATAGCTGAATTACCCAGAAGATATGGTTTTCCAGCCTGAATTGCAACGATATCCGGGCATCTGGCTCTGGACTAAGGGGGTACCAGAAGGGTGGACTGATTCCATGGAATCTCTGAGAAGTTAGTCTCAGGGACAGGAGCTTCAGCCTCTATCAGCTGCTTCCTACCAAAGCTGCCTTTTGTGAGGTAATTTTTGAAGATGTCAGAAACCACCTCACAACTCTGAATATCTCCCTCACAGATAGGCCACTGCCACAGGAAATTCAACCATTAGTAATGCATTTATTTGAGTAAAAAACACTGGGCTCAATTGCAGATGTCCTCAGAATGCATCCTATAGGGAAATGTCCTCAGTTGAATAGCTCAGTAAGACGCCAAGAACAGGTGGGGTGAGAAGGGGATTGGGAGTGAGAGGGTCCAAGGTCCAGACCCTTGTGGGGACACAAGTGGCCCTTGATCTGGGCCCTGGAATACATGAGGGCCCCAGGACAATGCTGAAGCGGGAGACGGTGGGGCATTTTTTTTTTATTGTGGTAAATACACATAACATAAAAGTTACCATCCTAACCATTTTTAAGTGTACAATTCAGTGGTTTTTAGTACATTCACAAGTTTGTGCAACTATCCACCACAATCTGGTTCCAGAACATTTTCATCATCCCCTCAAGTTGTCACTCCTCCTTTCTGCCTCCCTCAGCCCCTGGCCACCCCCAATCTGCTTTCTGCACCACATCTCATTTGTCCCGGGGCTGCCTCTAAGTTCCTTCTCCCTCCTCAGAGTGGAGCTCAGGAACCTCCTGGATTTGGTAATCTCAAGGGCCATAGGGGCCCTTGGCAGGGCGGCCATGTACAGGTGTGCACGCTGTAACCTGCACAACTCTTTGCAGGGGTCTCTGTCTTTGGGCAATTTTGATGGAACAAGAGGCTGAGTCTGGAGGGGCCTGATCCTGGAGGCTACACAGCCAGGCCCTGCCCACCTAGACCCTCCAGCCCTGCCCCCAGGTCTAGTCACTTCCGCACAAGCTTTGGGACTCCACCATGCCCTAAAGGTGGGGTCAAGGTCCAAAGGTGAGTAAAAGGATATCTAAGCCCCAGGAGCTTTCAGTGAGGAGGGCCAGGAGAGGGAGCAAAGGTAGGGTGCACTGGGAGTCAGTGCGGTGCTTGGAAGGGGGCTGGGTGGCAGAGTGGTGAGCAGTGGGTGCTGGGGTCAGGTCAGCCTGGGTGTGAGTTCTGGCCCTGCTACCTTGTAGTGTCCCTGCATTGTATATAGTGACAGTGTCCCTTCCTCTAAAGTGGGGATCACATGGGGGCGCCTGGGTGGCTCAGTCGGTTAAGCAACCGACTCTCGATTTCAGCTCAGCTCATGGTCTCACAGTTCATGGGATCCATCCCTGCACGGGGCTCTGTGCTGACAGCTCGGAGCCTGCTTGGGATTCTCTCTCCACTCCCCCTCTCTTCTCAAA